ATAAAGGCAGATTTAGGGTTGTTCTATAGTTTTTGCTGATATAAAAAGGGTCCTTTAGTGCATATTTAAAATATATTCCTTGATATTCACTCCTTCTGCCTTTGTGCCTGTAGCATATAGGACGAAATCTGAGGTTATCCACATTATATAAGGATAACCTCGCTTATGACCGTTGATCTGGTTGCCCGCCTGCCACAAAAGTGAGTCTCTAGATTTACAATGCGTGTGGCACTGATACTTAATTTCTCTAAGTCACATACCCAAGACTAGAAGAAGTGGTAGTGAATGTTTCTCATAATCCTATTTGATACAATTATCTATGATTTTACTCAAAAATGCATCACTGTCTCTAAAATTAGAGGTAGGAAGTCAGGGCATAATTTCTGAAGTGATAGTCAAGGGGAAATGTTAGCATCTGTGAAGACAGAGGTATTGTGATATGATGATTTGACCGACGCCCATTAAGGTTGCCTGCCACTCTGTGATGTGATCTGGCATCCACAGAAAATAGGGATGATTTTGTATATAAACTATAGTTATGTTGTACTCTTGTACCCTGCACTTGAAAGCGAGCACATCTGGGCTGGCCTTTGTCAGGCATGCAGCAGCTCTAGATGGCCCTTCTAAACTGCAGACAAACTGGTGAATACACTGTATGTCTTACATTAAATTGGGACATAAAAGCCATTTTATGTTGCTGGTTTAGTTTCTCCACCCTCAGCCTGACTTACAAAACACAATGTATAACCACACATATCAACCTAGAACTTTGCCCTATAACGCATTGTCACTGAAAGTCTCTTTTCTCCTTCCTGTCAGTCCTTAGCAGCACTATGGCTCAATGAGTGGCTGTGTTATTCACGGATGTGTGTGGCTATCATCCTGCATGAGTGTGTCTGTTTCTGTCCTTGACTCATTTTTTCTTTCTTCCTTTCTTTTTCTCTCTCTTCCTCAGTCTTAGTACCAGCCAGATCTTTTCTGTTTAACTCTATTCTTTTATTGCTGAAACACTCAAAGTGCTATTCAGAGAAGATGTATCTGTACAGAAAGAACACACCTAGAGAGCTCAACGCTGCTAATAGGATGCGCTCCCTGAAAAATTTCAAATCCAGACAGCACTGCTGTCCTTCGCTTCAACAACAAAAGGAAATCTTTTCTTCTTTTGAATTTATGACAGAGGTAGTTCAGGCAATGAGCAAAATGACTCCCTGAAGACGTGTCTTGACAGATGTAAAAATTATCATTAAAAAAAAAGACCACGGCAACACTGCAGAAAAATCAGTCTTGACACTGACTGTATTTTTAACAAAAGTCTATATAAATATCAGATGCTGCAGACGTGGATCAGACAAGCACATCTTCACAAGGGGAGGTTGCTAAACCCTGAATATTCTATTAGCAAAGAAATTAAGAGTATAATTACATACACATGGAAATATTTCTACTTAGCATGAGGTACAGCCCTAACTACCTACTTTTCACTTTTTTCCTTGTCTCACAATTTGTATCCTCGTGTGCTGTGTGACAAAGGAAAGAACATTGGAATAATAACAGTAATCAATAGTGATACGGTATTTTATAATTATCTAATACCTTCACATTAGTATTTCCCTCTCTTATATATGAGAACTCTGAGCTTCAGAAAGGTTAAGTGATTTGCCGAACATAGGTCAGTTTGCAAATTTCAGAGCCAGGATTCAAATAGAGATCTTTTGCCTCTTTGTATTCTTTCATTGTAGTAGCACAGCATTTCTGAATGACATCTGTGAACATTACGGCAAACACCATAACTTTCAGCTTATCTTGGATAATTTCTACCCTAATCTGAGGTTCAAATTTCCCTAAAACCTACGCTTCATCCTTTCATCTTCTTAAGCTATGTGTCACCTAAATGTTGAATCAGAGATGGATGCAAATTTCTATTCCTAAAACACCACCAGAGATACCTGAATGTATACATAGTTTAATCTGGAAAATGGATTTAATGAATGTATAATAGTAAAGGTAATATATGCATGAACATATAAACATATCTTGAATTACACATTACAGAGTACCATTATAAAGAAAACAATAGTTTTACAGAATAAAAGTAACTATGGCAACCTATAGATTCAAATCAGGCTGCCTCCCAGGCAGTGGCAAGCAGCTCCTAGTTGCCTCAGTAACTTTCCATTATAATGTGTCTCAAACACATACATTTTAGGGGGACATTAGCTGAATTTCCCACTTAATGTTCTCGATTTAATTTCACCTTTCTATGTTGAGGCCTAAAATAATCTGATTATATAATATTCTTTGGGCTTGTCTATTTCACTGCAGTCTTCTTATCTCCTTGTATTTCAGAGCCCTGCCTTACGCTGGAATGCCAATCTTCTGACATCTATGAGTCAGGAGGAATTAAGACAAAGTGAGGAGATAAGAGATGGTTTTAGGAAAACAGCTCCTGACATTGGCTATCAAAGGTTAGTTATCCTGACTGGCCCATGTACCCTTACATTTGCTGAGTACAGAGGGTTTAGTCTGTGATAAAGGAGAAAATGACTACAATCAGCAATTTTCTCTGAATTTCCAAGCAAGGCTGGGCTCCATAACGAGGTGAAAGCCTGAATAGACAGACTAGGATCAGTCTTATCACGGGCTGAGAAATGGCAGCACTGGGGACTTTAACAAATATTTATTGTGTACCCACAATATGCAAGGCACTGTGTTAAGGTATGTGGAGGAAAACAGGTGAATGAAAACTAGTTTTTGCCTTCAAAATGATCTTGTGGAATAGAAGCAGGGGTAGGTGTGTGTGTGTGTGTGTGTGTGTACACATGTGTACATACAGCACGTAAGTAGAGGTGACAAAGGTCATGAGATAAGTACAGATAAAAGGTTTTTACTATTTGAATGAGTTAACAAAGTCTTCTGAGATGAGTTTTGTGATACTGGGGAAAAAAAGAAACTTTCCATGGAAAATAAACACATTATTTAGGGTAATATTACTGAGTAGGTAGAACAGGATGAGAACAGGAAAATGTTGCTATTGTAGCTTAGATTTTTTATTTAATAATCGAATGGAAATCATTGGATTTTTTGAAAAGGGGTATGGTAAAGTTAATATGTAATTTTGAGAGTGATTGATAGAATACTACAGAAAGAAAAAAGTAGCAGAGTGGTGAATTAAGATGTACAGGCAAGAAAAAATGAAGGCCAGAATTTGGGTAGATACAATGGAAATATTATAGAAAAAGAGAAATCTGAGGGGTACTATAGAGATATAATATTGACACTGGCAACAAATTAAGTCTAGGAAGTAAAAGAAAAAGATGAGTAAAAAATTAATGCATCATTAATGGAAAAGATATTAACACAAATAAGTCATTCATTTATTCACCAAATATTTACTGAGCACTGATTTTATGCCAGGAGTGTTACTTTTTGTCAGGCACTTTGCTAGGAGCTACAAGAGGTATAGAACTGTTTTAGTGAGATGATGGATTTATACTAATTCTACACATGGAGAACTGAAAGCGTGAGCACATTTAAGCCACTAATTATTAACAGAGATCTGTAGTTGGGGAGAACAATGAGGTTGGAATTATCTGTATATCAAGAGGTCACTGTTGAGGCTGTGGAAGGCGGTGAGATCACTGATGTAGAAAAATTCTCAGAAAGATCAAGTTTGAGAATAGATATGAGAAAAAACACTACACTGCTCTTAGGAATCTGGAGGAACAGAAACTATTGGCAGAGGAATGGTCAAAAAAATAAAAAATAAACAAGGGGAGAATAAGGAGGGTGAAGCAGGAGTGAAGGCTACTGGATTGGGTCATCAGGAAACCCATTTCAGGAGGCTACATCAGCAAGCGAGGAGCTGGAAACAAGATAGAGGGAACGGGAGGAAAAGTTTGGCTGGGAAGATAAAGAGAGCAATGGAATGGTAGCTTGATAGGATAACAAAATACATAAGACAATGTAAACTATTAGTTAACATTTTTTTGAACACTCATGAGCAAGGCGCTATTCTAAGTGCTTGACATCTATTAACATGTTTAATCCCTACTACAACTTATGACTTACGGGAGAGATATTATTATTATATCTTTCTCATAGGTGGGGAAGCTGAGAAACAAATTGATTAAGAAACATGCCCAATACCACACAATAAGTATTAATTTGAACCCAGATGGTCTGACTTCAGAATCCCTTGGCCACTGTATTATGTTGTGAAGCTCCCTGAAGCTTAGATAGGTTTGTGGGAAGAATGAAAAGGAAGAAGTGTAAAGAGGGAGAGATGAGTAATGGTTAAAGCAAGGTCAAAAAGGATGTGATGAGGGGCACCTCCTTTATAGAACGAGGCCTCGCAAAGGCTCCCTGGAGACAAGATTAAGAGAAGAGAAGGAGAGTGACATGGGCAGATTTTTAAACCCAGAGGTATATAGTTGTGGGTGACGACATTAGGTGATTTTTTGTGGCCTTGGTAAAGCAAGAGGTGAGGTCACTGGATCAGAGGGCTAAAAGGGGATACTTGCTCCTAAAGTATAGATTAGGGAAAGGACTGGGAGGAGACACTACATAAACCCCACTATTTATCCTGTTTTGTTAATGAGAGTTTATTTCACAGAGGAAAAGCAAGGATCATTAGGCATGCACAAACCTATCAACAAATCCTCTCCAGGCACACACATGCATTGCAATAAGAATCATATGGACACTTAGCTGTGCAGACCCCAGTACTAGACGGTACATAAGAATTAAAAGGCTAGTTCTAATCTCATAGACCTTTTCTCTCTCTCTGTCTTTCAAGTGGCTTAACCAGCAAAGAAACCAAAGCGCAGCCCACCTAAATCAACAGCATGCTGATGTACATTTTTCCTTTGTTATTTTTATTTCCTTTTAAGAAGTGTTTGCTATTTAAAATCTGTTACTAGGTGATAATGGCAAAGCACATTTTTCTCTCTCTTTCATAGTCAACCCCATACATCTCACTGCGTGTTTGCAAGTAAAAATACCTGTTGCCGTGCACATGAGAGGCACAGAATGCAAAGCTGTAATGGAGCAGGGTAGGGTCAATGACAGCACCATTTTCTGACTGTTCCATCAGTTCTGTAAGGTAGCAGAGATGCCTGTGACAGCCTCTCACACCGTAACGGGCACAGTACTCGTCTAACACAAAGACTTGGCCAGGGCTAAACCAACCCTGCAAGAGAAAAAAGAAACGATAAATATTTTTTCTTTCTATGCTAAGATTCCCTTGCCTGTAAACACTTTTAGGCATTATAAGCAGAAGCTGCACAAAGGTGTCTTTTGACATTTATTTTTACTAGTGTTACGTTTCGTGGTATTTTTAGATAAGCTCATGTCATCAGTTCTGAAACTGATTTAGGACACTGGCCACCTAATGCTTTTTTCTTTCTATTGCTACTGCAAGGAGATGGGCAACTTGTTCTTCTGCCATTCAAAAATTAGTCAAATTTATTCACAGGATCTAAACTGTCAGTCACAAAGAGTGATATTCCAAAAAACTCACTCTCTATGAATCAATTAATAAGAGAATGGTAAAGAAGACATTATAATTGAAATTGCGTACTTACCAAAAGCATTTTATAAAGTGAACTAAAAGAAAATTTCAGTAAGTCTAGCAGTGGTGTACATGTAGTATTTGGGAACTTTACTATCTGAGATATTTTTCTCATTCTGTCTTTCTGTAACAAACAATACAACCAATATAACGGAGTTGATGTTTCACATTAGTAGTGTCTGATCCTCGTGAAATGAGATGTTATAATGCGTGTGTGTGCATGCAGGCAGCTGTGTGGCTAACACTGGAGGACAGGGTTAGGCAGACTTGGTTTACAACATATCTTAATGGATTACATGGATTTATGTGGTTTAATTTAAGGTACTAAAAGGGGAGAAGGGAGAATGGAGGGCTTTAAAAGGGGGAAAGATAATTGTGCGAGAGAAGAAAAAGAACAGTGAGAAAGAAAGATGAGAGGATGATAAAGAAAAGGAGGAAGAGAAGAAAAAACCACCACCAGGATACTTTCTGTGGCAATGGTGCAGGTACTGTACTAGACATATTACATATTTTATTTCTTTAATATTTAGAACCAACATGCATGGTAATTATTATGATTTTCATGTTACTGATAAATAAACTAAGGTTCAGAGATAGTAAGTGAATTGTCCAAGACTGCACTGCAAATCAGCTGTGGAGCCATGATTTACATCCAGTCATCCTGCCTCCAAACACTCTTTCTAATCACATCACATTCACTACCCTCCAGCTGCAGTGGAAGACAATGCAGTGTTCTCCTCAGACTCCACATTACACTTGGGATCAGCAACAAAATCAAAACAACTTTTGATGATTGAATAATTAATGCCTTTCAGTGGAATCCAAGAGGATCCTGTCCCTTACTGATGGTCACTCAATATGTACTTGTCCATGGAACAACATCACAGGGTTTTGTCATGATTTGTTTTACTCTCCATGTAAAGTTTAAGCTGGATCAGGTTTAAACTATACAATTACATGTAGAATAGCTACTTAATAAACAATCTATAAATGAACTAATGAATTGTTAGTGTGATCATATCAATAAATTGTTTCACTTCTTTCTGCCTGTGGAAGTACTTCCAATAAGTTGGGAGCACATCCTGTTGAAAATCTTATTTTAGAGAGAATGTAATTTTATAGCATGAAGTTAAGGGTTGAAAATCCCTAATTTAAAGTCCAAAATCTGAAATGTTCCAAAATCCAAAACTTTTTGAACACCTACATGATGTTCAAAGGAAATGCTCATTGCAGCATTTCATATTTTGAATTTTCATATTAGGGATGCTCAACCAGTACGTATAATGCAAATATTTTAAATTCTGAAAAAAATCCAAAATCTGAAAACACTTTTGGTTCCATGCGTTTTAATTTTAGATAAGGGATACTCAAACTAGTATTATGTTTTGTGTTCAAGAGATTAAAGCAATTTCAAAATATTCTGGCTGGAAAATTCTAGAGGAATTTTTATAGTGCTACTGACACTATAAATCCTTGGAAAAACACATATAATTAATTCTTAGGCTATAAAGTTTAGTCCTCACATTCTGAGGCTTGTCAAGCATTCCTTCTAAATACAAATTATACTTTTTATCCCAAATTTTGGTTACAGTTTCAACACATACCAGGTGACATTTCACTCAATTTAATTCACACTCTCCCTTTCTTTTATGGCATTCAAGTTATCTCTGGAGGGCCAGATGAAACTAAAACTTTCCTCTGTCATGTATTGCCCCCATCATATTGCTTATTCTACTATTTGTTTCCCCTGCCTCTTAGGTTGTCCTAAGAACAAAGGAGAGAAATGCAAGGTATCAACATCTGGGGAGCAGAATTTCAACCTTAAAATGTCTGTACAGCTGTTAGTAAGTGCTGTAACAGAGCATTTACAAATCTGTATGTAAAGTCTTCTGCTTTCACTCAGCCTTCTCTGGAGGGACTGAAAAACCACAGTTTAGCATCTATTTGAGTCTGTTCTCCTGTCTATTGAGTGGCACAGCAGTCATCTTCGAGTGTATAATTTTCAAATTGGGCAGCAATATCGATTTGGAATCCTTTATCCCTAACTCTAGCTACAGTTATTAAATGAGTCGGGAATAAAATGCTACTTTATAACAAGTATTTCTCACTTTCTAAAATCTTTTATTCTACCTATAGAGGACTAGACAGAGGGACTTGTACTCACTAAGCAAGAATAGGAATCGTTCAGTCTGTGATCCAAAGTCTGCCTCTGGAGTATTCTAAAAAGGAAGGCGTGGTCAAGCTTGCAGGGATCAGCAGAAATAAACTCATCCATACCATGTTTCTGAAAACGATCTGTATCTGTAAATTCAGAAAAGCATGTATAGTACATTTATTTTTCTGGTTTAATAATGGACAAATATAGTTTTTGAAGAACACAAAATTCATGCCTCATAACAGAAGACTACCTTCTATCACATAAAACGTGCCAAGAATTCAGCATATTAACATAAATTGCAAGGTTTTTGAAGCCTAATATGACAGGAAAAAAATCCATCAATCATTTAGAATGAAGAAATTCTATTTTCATTCAAAGCTACTTCTTATTTTCCAACTTTGAGAAAAGTTGATGTACTTTAAGTACATATTTACTGATGGAATTGACTAGAACAGAACCAAGGTCTATTCATAAAAATAGCAACGATGGCCAGAAGCCTGCTTTCCAAATGGCAAACCAGGGCAGAAATGAACACACGAGCTTCAGCTGGATCACTTCCAGTCTTCTTTTTGTATGGAGCTTTTAATGGGACCAACCTTAATGTAGAAATGGCAATGAGCGCTCTCAAGCTTCAAGTTTAAGAGACATAAAAAAGGGAGCATCACGTTTGTGCAAATATGCAGACAAAGCATAACGTCCCAAATGGCACTTCAATCAAAGGCCCAAATTTATTGTTCTTTACAGATCGCATCTTTCAACGCCTGTAGACCCTGCGGGTTTATCAAAAGGCAAGCTTTTATGATTGCTTTCATTAATGGTATGTTTTGTCAAAGTCTTCAATGTGAGTTATTTACTAAGTATAGAGAGAAAAAGCCACATACTACCCAAAGGAGTGCTTGGGTGTTATTACATTAACTCTGTTAGAAATATAGTGCATATTGAGCAAGAAATCATTTAGCAAGATAAAAGTGGACTCTTCTCACAATGGTAGAGCTGAAGCTCCATTGTTCCTTAAAATTCATAGATAGATCTCTTTCTGGTCCATCATAAGAAAAGCAGAGTCCTAAATGTAAGCTAAATGTAGTTTCTAAAACCTACATGGCACAATCCTAAAACAGTAAAGGAAAAGAGACAAAAGTGTATTGATTAAACCCAATTATAGACTCAGGCTCATAATAAAACTCAATATTGATCTGTGGACATGATGCTAACATAATCAGTCACATTTAGATATTTAGTCCAGATCATATTGATCCATGTCAAGTTCAACTTTCAGCCATATTTGTGGATGGAAGAACTATATAATTCAAGCTGAAGGGTCCTCAGAATCACATTAAAAAAAAAAAGATACACAATTTAATGTACATCTCATGTCAATGGCAGATATCAAAAGGTGAATGTAGCAAGTAAGCGATGAATGGCAGTTTATTGATGTGTAATGTATGAGGTTATGTGCCATGGAGAAAACAGCATATGTATTCCTTTACGTTTAGTAATTATCTACCTGAATGATTAAATACATTACATGTGATAAATTAGTATTAATTGGATGAACACAAAACTAAACTGCTTTTCCTGAACTGAGAAATGAGACAACCCAACTTTTCTTGTATTTTATTCTTTTGTCAGAGAGTCTTCTAATATAAAGTTAAATATATGATAATGTGAAATAATACCAAATGAGTAGGAGGCAGAATATTGAAAAACGCAAAGCACATTATAAAATTGGAAAGTTATTTTGTGTTTTAAGGAATTTATCTTAGAATCTTCATTTCTCTAAGTAAAAAAATTCTTTCAGTATCACCTTTATGAAATTAAATTACTAGTTTTATAAAACATCTGCTGAATTTTATTTCTTATTTCTTTCACCAGAGAAGGTTATAACAAGCAGTTAAAGATAATGCCCATTAATGGCTTATGCACTGAATACAGGATATATAATACATCTCAGAGGAAAAAGATTGATAATTCTTTTTTTACTATAAAAGTTTGTAGAAGTAATTTTTTTTTTTCAGACAGGGTCTCACTCTGTCACTGGGGTACAGTGCAGTGGTGTCATCATAGCTCACAGGAATCTCAAACTCCTGGGCTAAAGAGATCCTCTTGCCTCAGCTTCCCCAGTAGCTGGGGCTACAGATGTGCGCCACCATGCTCAGCTAATTTTTCTACTTTTTGGAGAGATGGGGTCTCACTATGTTGCTCAGGCTGGTCTTGAACTCCTGGCCTCTAGTGATCCTTCCACCTTGGCCTCCCAAGTGCTAGGCATGAGCCACTGCAACCAGACTGTAGAAGCATTTTTTTTTTTTCTAAATGGGCATTCAGTCTTCAAATAAAATATATAAGCTTCTGAAAACAAATGAGTCTGTAGTTCATTTCTATAAGGCATACATTTTATGAATTTGCAATGCGTTTTCCTCATGAAATACAAACCCAAATCACATATTTACTAATGTGACAAGCCTTTCCAAATCACACAAGTGAATGGAACTTATTTTTTCAACAATCGCCATTAATGATAAAAATGATATTCATGATAGCAATTTAAGTCACATATACAGACTGTATATCGGCATTGTAAAAACTGACGGACAAGCAAACCCACTAAAATTTTTATTTAAAAAAAAAAAAAAACAACCTGAAATCCCTCTAAGGTTATAATCTTAAGAAAGTGAAATGTGTTCTTAGGGATTATCCTATCTTCAAAACACAGGCTATAAAGACCAAGCATCTCTACTTCTTTCTTTCTATGTCAGATAAGCACAATTCTAAACATTCTATGCAAAATACTTCACCATGTGCCAGTATAGCACTAATTTCCATGAATTTATGAAGAAATAAAAATAAACCAAAATGGCAACAGTTTTGACCTCTCTGTGTCAGAAATTTTTTTTGTTTGTTTGTTTTTGGCCGTGTTTCAGTAAAACTTTATTTTCAAAACAGGCAGTTGGATTTGGTTTGCTGGCCCTCTGGACCTTGCTTTAAATGAAAATAATAGCAATGTATTAATATACTAGTGTTTATAACATAGTGCAAAGTAAAGTTCATGGCAACAACAGAAGCAAAGCCAGGAAGGGAGAGATAGATGTATACTATTTAAAGGTTCTTTTTTTGAGACAGGGTCTTACTCTGTCACCTGAGCTAGAGTGTAGTGGTGTCATCATAGCTCACTGCAAACTCAAACTTCTAGACTCAAGCAATACTCCTGCCTCAGTCTCCCTAGTAACTGAAACTATAGGCGCACAGCACCACGTCAGGCTAATTTATCTACTTTTTGCTGAGATTGGATGTTGCTCTTGCTCAAGGCTAAAAGGTTCATTTTTTTTTCAATAACTTTTTTGGTGTATATTTGAGCTTTATAACATGATGTTATGGAATACATATAAATAGTAAAACTTAGCGAAATTAGCAAAAATGGTTATAATGGTGAAGTAAATTAATATTGATGCCATCTCACGTAATTGCTTTTTTGTGATAAGAGTGGCTAAAATTTACTTATTTTGCAAATATTGCCAATATGATACAATTTTATTGACTCTAGATCTGTAGACACCTTCATTCTACATATCTACTACTTTGTGTCCTTTGGCCTACATTTCCCCATTCCCTCCCCTCAATCTTTCCCTTTAAAGTTCTCTCACGAACTAAAATAAAACAGGAGATCAGATATCATTAAAATATTATCTAGTTTCTTATTTTTATAACAGCATATCTTCATGTAGTTTTCTCCAGGCATAACATTTCTTACATTTTACTCTTGGGAGACAGAGAGGCATCATCTGGATCAAATGGAAAACATGCTTTCAGTCAATAACATAACCAAATCCAAGGCTTTAAAATTGGGTTACCTTGGATTACCTTCAATTAATGTTTATTATAACACAAAATTACAGTAACTAGTTTTAAACAGAAAATTATTCATAGTACTATTCAAATGTTCTCTGACAATGGCAAATTTCAGTTCAGTTTGTCCTCTGAAACAATACAAGAAAATTATAAAAAGAAACCAACAAGATATGAGCTTAAACAATATATTGCAAAACTGTCATAAATTGTGATGATTAACCTATGGACTAACTACAGATGTGGGACATGGTAATTGAGGCTATTTGTAGAGTTTCTATGGCAACAGTTAAATATATTCTCCAGTGTCTTTTTAGGTGGTACTGTCACCAGGTGTGCTAACAGTAGACAGAATAAAACCCAAATGAAGAAAGATTACTATTTGCTATAATTTAAGAAGTCAGAGAGGCTTTATTTCAGTGGAGCCTAAAAATTTAAAATTTTCATTAGGATAATAGCCGTTGTAAGTCAAGAGAAAAGAATAAGCAAGCTGAGAGTATCAATTTAAAACAGTTAACACTGACTTGAAAACAGCTAGCAAAGAAAACAATGAGGGTATGAGCCAGCTGGTAGACCCCAATGGTAGTGGAGGGTATTTGGTGGGCACTGATCACAACCAGCCCCTCGGTACTCAAGAATCCAATTTCCAGGAAAGGCATTTAAGTCAGAGAGGTGAGACTGGGAAAAAATAATTGAAGTGTCTCTTCTTCCTTTGCAACAAATTCTAATGATATTGCATTTATGCTGTTCCTGGTATTGTGAGAAGGTATGGATGTACAAGGAAAAGGGGAACAAAGAGAGAAAGGGGTACACTGGAGGAGAAAAGGAGGCCATTTATTAGCATTCTGCGATCACTCAGGTGTCAGGCACTGGGATTCAAGTATCAAAGGATGAAGAACAGGGTGCTGCTAGCCAAGAGCTGATCTCCTCTGCAAAACACTGAACTGAACTAAGCAATAGATGAAGCTTTTGAAAAACAATACAATTTATTGTCCTATGTCTAGAATTGTACCATGTTTAGTTCACTAGTAGCTGCATTTATCACTACTCATACCTGATTATATTAACACATTTCTTTCAGTTCAAACTCTCACAGAGCTTGAAAATTTATAGGGAGTTAAAAGTGGCACAGAAAAGTAGGTGCCACTTCTGTTTTTATACCACCTGTGAAACTTTTCACAGGAAGAGTTTAATATTTGAAAATTTTACATAGATGAGCCTGGCTGGTATATTCATTTTTTATGTATGCATGTTTTCTGCAGAAGACCAAAGAGTAATGATTGATAGATACATTATTTAGGAGTTTGTTCGCACCTCTATTACTGACCCAAATAATTGCTTAGTTTCTTTTGGTTAAATCAAATAAAAACTGATATGTGGATTAACACACCCCTTGCTTTCTGCAGTAAATAACATGTAAGTAGTATTTCATATAATGAAAATTTTAATCAACACAGAGACTTAAAATTACAAATAAGCATAGTAAATTAATATTGTACATTTATCATAAATAGTGTGTTCAATCTAAGGTAAGACAAATGCTGTCCCTATGAAGTATGAAGTTTAACATATTAGATCAATCAGGAAAATAAGTTCATAAAATTAAATGTAAGCTTGTATTCCAATTTAAGGATCTTAAAAATATTTAGCTTAAAACTAAAAAAAGTAGATGGCAGCTATTCTGGTTCATTTTTGACATTATTATTGAAAGGCAACTACTATTATGTTATATTGTATTATGTGACATACACATTGTATTATGTTACACATACAACTGAACATAGTATGTTGGTCAGAGAGAGCAAAGAAGGATAGATCAACCAAAGAATGCCTGTCAGTCTGGCAAAGGAAGCACATTATGACTGAAGCAGGAAAACTGTTTAATAGCACAACTCCCACTCCTTCAGCTCACCCTATTCCCTGAGAATTTCTATACACCCTGATAGTCAAAAAAAGTGGAAGTGGATTTACTTTTTAGAGAAATAGATAAATACATATTATTTAATTCCTAAAAAGATGACGCTATCTTGTAATAAGTTGTAATTTAGAAATTTATTATTTCATTTTGATTATTACTAAATATTCAGTATGCCTAATTTTAAAGATAAGTTTTTATAGTTATAAAATACATACTTCAAAGAAAATTCAGAAAATAGAGGAAATAAAGTAGTAACTAATCTTTCCAATTAAACTCATCCATGGTGAATATTTTAGGCATCCTTCTAACCTATACTTTTATCTTTTAAATTGGGTGTTTCTTTATACAGTGAAAATAATACTACATGTATAATTTAGTATTTTTTTCCACTTAACATTTATTGATTATTTTTTACATGTTATTTACCTTTGTGACTGTATGAATGGTAGATATTAGGTTATTTCTACTTTTCAGTTGTGCTTAAATAGACATTTTTGTTTAATAAATGCTAAAGCTAGCCTAGAAAGTAGGACACTAACACAGTAAACAAAATCATGACATTCTTCAAGTATTGTATCATCACAAAAATTTTAGTACATTTAAGCAAAAAGAAATCATGAAAATACTTACCTTTACCAGCTATAGGTCAGCAAGGAAGTGAGAAACAAAGCGTATTTAAATGGGTTAAGGACATATATATTTATATAACTAGATATTTTAATTTTATGTTTATTTTCTCAATTTCTACTTATGACTTCAAAAGTTGTTCTTCTAAGAGATGATCAGGAAATAAAAAGAAATATGTAAGTTAAGGAAAGGAGGAAAATTCTAAGGTTAAAACTAGTCTCTGGAGCAAGTCAACGGCATCTGACAAAGGTCAGGGTCAGTATTCTCATTCTGATGGGGTAGGCGTGTATTTTCTTCCTGTCTTTCTTTTATTTTTGTTTCTTTGGTTGTTTTTTGTTTTTAAGAAAGATAAAACATCTGCTTTGATTGAAAACTTTACTAGTAGCCTGGAATGCAAAAGACCTGTTGTTAGCGTAATTGAAACAGTTTGATCTTTTAGTTATAACAATTTGGTTCCCATATGCAGTCTAACCCAACACTGCCTTGACAATAAATTGATATCAAATAGTAGAAAGGTTTTGTCAGAAATAGATCACAACGCTATTGTAATTAATTGATTATTTAATTCTTTTATTCATTAATTCTGTTTTGTCTAGCCACAGCCATGTTCTTGGCTAGCAGTTTCCAACTATTTTTCTTGCCACTATGTGCAAGATGGATGATATCCATGAGCTCAGCATACTCCTTGGGCATTCCTTGCACTCTACACGCAAAGGAAAAGTACTGGAACACAAGTGAATGAGGGTGACAATTTCACAGAATTAACTATCGAGTCACTATAATTCAGTGGTTCTCAGCTGGGGCTAATTCTGCCCCAACTTCAACACTGCACTCCAGGACATTTGGCAATGTCTGGGGATATTTTTGGTTGTCACCCCTGGGGGCGGAGGGCTACTGGCATCTAGTATGAAGAGCCTTATTGCTTATTTGGAAAAAGTTTTAGTGGTCTGGATAGAGGATCAAACCAGCCACAACATTCCCTTAAACCAAAGCCTAGTCCAGAGCAAAACCCTAACTCTCTTCAGTTCTATAAAGGCTGAGAGAGGTGAGGAAGCTGCAAAAGGAAAGGTGAAAGCTAGCACAGGTGGTTCATGAGTTTTAGGGAAAGAAGCTGTCTCCACAACATAAAAATGCAACGTGAAGCAGCAAGTGCTGCAAAAGAGCTTTATGGAAAAAAGACTGAAATATAAAGGAATTAGAAGAACCGAATAAATGAAGAAACTTTTTATGTAATCCCTCTGGAACTTAATTTATTCTGGATGAAACAGAAGGAGAAGAGGGAGGAAGAGTGTTGGATTGATTGAATTTAACTCTGTGACTGAGTTACTCTGAAATGATGAGTTTTAAGTTTTTTGGTGACCTTAGAAGCAGGGATTTAAGATATGTTCAATTGTAGAGAAATAAAGTTATATTTCTGCACACCTTGGTTCTGATGGAAAATTCTCATCTGCTATACCATACTCGATGTGTATTACTGGGAGTGAGAGGGAGTTAAAAATTTACATAAAGTAGAAATACATACCATAATGTGCTCTTTTTATCTTATCTTTGAAGATGACAATGCTACTAATTTTAAAGTGGGAATAAATGTGAAATTTTCAAATCAATTTTTAAAATTTTAATATGTAATATTCCTAGTTTTTACTATACTTAAAAAATATGCCCCAAATTAATTAAGATAACTTATGAAAATGGTCTGTAGTTTCTAAAATAATATAAAGAAAAAAAGCTTCTATTACACCTTTAATTATTCGGCCTTAAGTGCTTTTGTTTAAGATGACAATGCTCACATGTGATATTGAAGGGTGTCTAAAAAGGAGAGGGAATAGTTATTTGATGCATGAAATGTAGAAGAAGAAAATAATGCATGTCAAGATGTTATTCTCTCAGAGAAGGATCTTGAGTATAAAAAGCCACACTTTGAGCTTAAAGACAAACAATTATAGGTGAAACCAGAGAAGTGTTGCAAAAGGAGTATAATAAGTTAAAACATTTGGTTTAGTGATTATTAAAGCTAAGTTTAAAAATGTTTCTAACATCATTACACAATTTATTATTAATCACCAGTAAATTAAAATGAAAAATATAGTTTGTAATGTTTTAAATTAGCATACAAAAATGACATGTTTTTTAGTCACTTGGAAAAAGAAAGTTAGCTATATAATTTATTCTTTTTATCATTCTACAACAGAAAAAAAGCCCTATTATCATTTTGGGTTATTAAAAACAACTCAAGAAAGTGATGGTTCATCCTTTTGGTACTCTGGAATCCCATACGTGCAAATTTGATTTTGTAATACTTTTCCCATTTCTATAGGACAATTAAGTTAAAATTACAATAAACTAAAATAAACTTTCCCTTGAGAAGTTTTGGTCATTTTCTTACGTGCTCTTAGATTCCCAGAAATACACCAATGTTTGGCAACCACATGAACCATTCATTCCAGATTTGTGTAAAAGTAGATAAATGATTCTATGACTACTAATGTGAACTATTTTTATTTAATTAGGAATCAGTTAATGATGTAAACTACAATACCGAACAAATTTGCCTCAGGCAATTTTATATCTTATTAAGGTTATTAATTGATAAATTACTTTTTAACAAAACTTACAAAGCTGAGCATCTGCCTGGAGAGTTCCTCCTTTAGGATTCAGCTTCTGAGTCTGAATTGCAGGAATTGGTTTATATGATTGACCTGTGGCTCTATACATGGCTTGAACCCACAATATTCTGTCCTGTTCATCATCACTGGCAAATATTACAGTATCTCCTTCTTTAACAGCATTGAAGAACATGTGACCACCCCGAAGGCCTGTGGAGGGAGAAAAACATCATTAAAAATTCACAGGACTGGTAGATTTTAGTCTCATTCACTAACTAGCCTCATGGAAAAGAATGGGTTTGATATTAGGAGCTCAATGCTTTATTTAAACAATTTCTAGTTGAAGATCAAATTGATAATCCAAGATTTGAAAGGAAACAATAACAAGAAGGTTTAAGCTTCCATATCACTTTGGAAATTAAAAATAACTCAGGGAAACAGTCCATGACACAGTAGCATTCTGCAAGACATAAAAACCTAACCCACAGAAATGCATAGCATACATAACCTGATATTTCATACCAGAGAAGGAAGTTTCATCTGTTGGCACATTTACCATTCCAGGAGAAATATATGAATTTAACAGGAAAAAAAAATACTGGTAAGGCAAAAATGATATTTCATATTATACGGTATTTTATCTTTTGTAAAATTCTTTCACAAAGAAGATAATATTTTGCACTTCTAAGTGACCAATTTGTGAATATGACCACAGATTTCTATTTCTTAATCTCTATTCATTAATTTTCAATCTCTAATTTATTATCTACATATTTTAATCTTTTTATATTAATATCCATATATCCATTTGCTGTTTTTAGATATTGGGTGTCCAGTACCATTCCTAGTATTTACGGAGAGAGAGAAAAGTACAATAACGTATTGTTGGGAAAAAAAATTAGTAGAGTATATAATAATGCATTTTCCATTTCTTTCTCTATTTCTGTTGTAGTTTTATCTTTCCAGCTCTCCAGTGAAGAAATTTATGTAAGCATTGTTAATTTCTCATGTAATTGTTCTATTACAGTAACTTTTACACATTTCATCCTTGTCCTAAAACAACAAAGATGATGAATTTTGGCTAAAAACAAGCCTCAAAAAGAAATAATTCGAATCTCCTAAAGTCTTGTCCAGCTGTATAAGTGAAATATGTACCCTATTAATTGGGTGGAGTTTGATATGTGGAACAGACAGGATATTTACAAGAATTTTGTGCACACATGCATGGCAGGGCAAGTGATTCAATATAGAATTACCTGGGTGGGGATCTGTATAGTCCACAGTGTATCCTTCAAGCTGCATTAATTCTTGTGGTTCAGACTTTTTTTCTCTGTAACTGCACATAGCAAAGGTGTACTGGCTAACCTGCTCAAGAAAAGAAAAGCTTGCTGGTTGGTCACAATAAATTTATAAAATTTAACTTTTAGCTTCTTCTTTATCAGAAGACTTTTTGCCCAAATAAAAATATAATAATTTACATATAAATTTTCAAAACCTAGCTCAGGGATCAAAACACCTTTCATTTGTTAGCTTGCATTTGTTAGGTCTTCCATGCCCATGATCCAGCATTTCCCAAGTTGGCCAAGCCTCTATGGGATATTAACAGAGCACCATATAATAAATTTGAAATCATTAGGTTACATAAAGATAAACTAACCTTCTTTTACTTCAGGGTTTCATAGGGACTTTAATATGCTAACATAGACTATAAATCTCTAAAATAAGATTAGGAGTAGTCCCAAACTTACATAATTATGGGACCACATTTTCAAGCATACTTATTTAAAGATTTTTTTTTTTTTTTTTTGAGACAGAGTCTCCCTCTGTTGCCCGGGCTAGAGTGAGTGCCGTGGCGTCATCCTAGCTCACAGCAACCTCAAACTCCTGGGCTCAAGCGATCCTTCTGCCTCAACCTCCCGAGTAGCTAGGACTACAGGCATGCGCCACCATGCCCGGCTAATTTTTTTTTTCTATATATTTTTAGTTGTCCGATTCATTTCTTTCTATTTTTTAGTAGAGACGGGGTCTCGCTCTTGCTCAGGCTGGTTTCGAACTCCTGAGCTCAAACAACCCACCCGCCTCGGCCTCCCAGAGTGCTAGGATTACAGGCATAAGCCACCGTGCCTGGCCTAAAGACTTTTAACCAAAGTAAAACAAGATCTTGATAAAAGTTGAGAATTTATTTCCCACATAACCAGACCCACAGCAAGTGTCAGGGAGGAGTAAGTTTTTGGCAGCCAGTGACAATACTGCCAAGATCTGCTCTGCCTCTCAATTCTTCTCCTCTTTTGGAACAGGCTTTATTTTCTTGTGCTGAAGTCTCACTTGGCTAGAACCATAGTTGCCAACAGCTTTGAAGCCACTTCCCTGATTATCTCAGCTTGGGTGATGTGGCCATATTTGGACCACATACTGTGGCTAAGGGGAGAAAGTTTCATTAACCCAGTTTGGGCCAAAAGCTCACATATGCAGCCGATAGTCAAGGTCTTACAACTTCCCCCAAAATAGAGTGATATGCTGTTCCCTGCAGCAGAAAAGGATGTTTTGGAGGATTAATAAATATCTAAAGTGCAAAATA